GTATGAAGCACTGTCAAAACCCACAGAAAGATACAGCATAAGGAGTAAACCTTAACACATGCAAATTAAAAAGTATCATTCCAGAGGTCAGAGAATTCCAGGATGGGTGCAAAACATGGCAAAAATCAGAACGTGTCCAGATGTATGAAACAATACCATTGAAGAGGGTGGGGGAATAATTAGGGGACTTAGCTAATTAACTTTGGAAATGAGTGGAATCTCTAAGACTATGGGAACCCTACAGAAGAGCTGTACTCTGGTTTGTAAAGTGGCCTCCCACAGGGGAACAGGCTGCCAATTCTGTTACTGTCACATATGTTCACTGGACTGGACAATTAAGCTAATGGACAGTGGGTGATGGGAGCCAGGTTTCTTACTGCTGGAGTGACAATTTACAGGTAAGTAAGGAGAGGAGGCTAGAATGACATGCATGGTAATACTATAGAGTTGAAGACATCAGTATGAACTCACACTTTTTAGCTTAATATATAGATACAGATGGTAACATATAGAAATACTTACAGAAATTCCCACATACAGGTTCAGTAGTCTGTCTTCCCTGCTCTGTCTGCTGAGAAAGCCTAGAAGCAGTGGCACCCCAAAAGCAATGAGCACACCTGGATCCCAGACCTTGTTCTCCAATACCATTCGCTAATAAAGGGAAGCAGGGCTCCCAGGAGAAACGGCTGATTCTAGGACTGGGGCAGGAAGCTTACAAGATGAGCCTGGGGCATCTTGTAGTGCCAGAAAGGAAAGAAGGGCATAATAAAAAAAAAAACAAAAGAACCCTGTAGCATTGATGATGGACTATCAAAGGGACACAGGGGCCACCTGGAAAAGCACCCAGTGCTACACAGCTTTGAGCAACAAAATAAACGAACTTGGACTGGATTAGAGCCCAAAGTATAAAATAACGGCCTATACTGATGTATGGGAATGATAGAATCAAAAAATAAGTGAGGGAGAAAGACTAGAAGAACCCCAGATTATTCACATAGATAGTCTGCCCTTAGGCAGCTGGAACATGCCTCCCTCTTCTCCAGTGTGGGCTGCGCATAGTGACTTCCCTCCAAAGAGGGCCTTCACCCCAGAGTCGCAGGGCAGCCCCCGCTGGGTTCATGCATCAGCAGAAGGATCCTCAGCTGAGTTGGCTGAAGCTGAGCACATTTTGAAGAGGCTGAGATCTGTGTTTGTCCTCTCTGAGCCCCTGGGACACCTTTTGGAATCTCCTTTAGCAGAATATAGCTGTTTCTTCCATCACGGAGCAAAGGTGATCCCATAAAATTCCATCACCCCGAGAGCGCTGCCTCTGTCTTATAGTCAGGGACCCACTGCACCAAAACTGCCCGAGGAGCTTGCTGACAATGCACATGTCTGGCCTGCAGCCCAGACTTCCTCTGCCAGGCTCCCTGGGGGAGCGAGGAGGAACAGGTGCACAAGGGCCAGGAGTCAGCAGTTTAAGAAGAACGACAGGTGATTCCCATGGTCAGTATTAAACTGGAGAGTGACAGGCACGGGACTCAGCTGTGTCACTACTGCAGAAATAAAATGTTTACTTTAAGAGAGGATATAAACACCATCACAAGAAAGGAATCAGCTCATTGCAGAATGGGGACGTCTGTCAGGCAGCTGACCTGGTTTCTTTCACAAGTGAAGGACATAGATAAAAAGGAAAGAGATTAAAGCTGACTTAAAGGACACTTCAGATATAAACTAATCAGATATAATGGATCTTGTACGGATCTTGATTCAAACAAATCACAGACAAGGTAGTATTTTAAGACCACTGGGGAAATGTAAATCCAGACCATTTATTGGTTGATACTAAATAATTGGTGTTTACCGTTCATCTACTGATTGGACACTTTGGTTGCTTCCATATCTTGGCAACTATAAAATAATGCAGCAATAAACATAGGGGTGCATGTATCTTTTTGAATAGACTCAGAGACCCTGAGAAGTGACTGGTGGTCACCACAGGGGAGGGGCTGGGGCGGGTGGGTGAAATAGGTGAAGGGAACAAAGAGGCACAGGGCTCAGGCATATATAAACTAGTCACAGGGATGGCAGTGCAGCCTGGAGCATATGGCCAATGGTTCTGTAACGTCTTCCGGTGCCAACAGACAGTAACCACACTAGTGGGGGTGAGGATTTAATAACATGGGCAACTGTTGATCCTCTGTGTTGTATATGTGAAACCAATATAAGACTGTATATCAACTACACTTCAATTAAAATAAAAGAACTCGTGTTAATTATGTTATGTAACAAGACACCACTCCCTATTTTGAGTTTGTATGCTTAAGTTCTTTTTGGGAAATTGTTTGACGTCTGGCGTTTGTTTTAAAATGCTCCAGCAAAAATCTTAAAGCGAAGCAACAGGTGCGGGAAACAGATGGAGCAGGTGCGGCAGCCTGTATGAATGCTCCTGACGGTGGGCGGCAGGCCCTGGGGCTGCTGTGCTCCAAACCATCAGCTATGTCTGAACATGTTTAGAGCAAATTGTTAAGAGGATCTAAGGCCATGGAAATGCCTAACCCAGCAGGACGAGTTGCCAAAGGTGGACTTCTAGTAAAACCACTCGGTGGTTCCTCAAAAAATTAAACAGATTCAGCATGGGACCCAAAGGTTCCACTGCATGTTCACAGCAACACCAGTCATGCTAGTCAACAGGGGGAAACAGCCCAGTGGCCTTCAACAGGCGAATGGATAAGCCGGACACGGTATATACGTATGGCTGAAGGTCATTCATGAAGGTAATGAAGTGCTGATGTATGTTATGACAAGAGTTGAAAACATTACGCTAAGGGAAATGAGCCAGACACAGCAGGACAAATATCAGACGATTCCCTTCCAGGAGGAAGGTGGGGTGGGCAAATTCATGGGCAGACAGCAGGATAGATGTTACCAGGCGCCACGGGGAAGGGAAGACAGGGAGCGACTGCATGGCTGCAGAGCTTCTGTCTTGCCATGAAACATCTGACATAGACGGAGGACATGGCTGCACAGCACCCTGGGTGCACAAGGTGCCACTGGATGTTCCCTTTACGATTGTTAATTTTATATCATGTGAATTTCACCTCAACTTACAATGAAGGTGGAATTCTAGCCACTGGGGGAAGGATTCTGAAGGGCAATGTCAGGGTCCCTTGACGACCTCTGGGAAGCCTGGGGGATCTGCAGCTTTACACCTGTGTGCTCTCTCCGCGACCAGTGGGAGAGGGGTGAACAAGGGGAAATGCAGCAAGCGGCCCCAGCTTCTGCGGGACCCACTGTTTTGTGAGCCCACACACACTGCGCCCACATGAGCCTCTTTGACTCCTTGAAGGGAAAGTTTTGATGGGATTCTGCTGACTCAGGCCTAGAGTCCTTCCTCAGGAAAAACTCCTGTGAGGTTGAATTGAGTTGAATCCGCAGAATCAGACTGAATTTTGGTACGTTACACATCATCCCTGACGCGGCTACTCTGATTAACAATTAGATCTGTCCGCCGCTGGGGTAGAGCTGCTGGCAGGGCAGCACAGATGCCCTCCCCAGTACACAGATGCCTGCGGCCAGAGAACGTCCGGACACTATGCAGCCCAAACAGGCTGAAAAGTGAAAGGGGTTCTACCTCTGTACTTACTGAAGCCGCGGGCCAGGAACTGCCTGGGGTTAAATGAGATTACGTTCCATCTGCTACTTAACTTCAGGGACCTCGTGGTCTTTGCACATGCGCTCTTGCAGGACAATGTGGTATCTTTTTTTCCTTCCTAAATCTAATTTTTATTCAATGTCATAAATACTTGCATTACTTTGTGTATTTATTTCCCCTGTAGATCATGGATATGTGATCGAGGACGAGCAGGTGCCTCTCACGGGCCAGCAGCACAGATGCCTGGTGATGGGGCTGTGTGAGACGGTCAGGCTTGCAGAGGGGACGGCACGAGCTAGAGGAGGGCTGGCAGCAGGAATAGTCATCATTTCTCATCATCTGAGCACTCCTTTGTCCCAGAAAACTGATGTAGCTACCCCAAGGCTAGCCTTCAACTTTTACCTAGACACGATCTTTTCAATAAATGCAGTTTTAAAATGTAGCTGAAACTGGTGTTGTCATTCCCCGTGCAGACCGGGGTTTAATAGAAACATTATAGGAAAACGTTTTTGAAAGAAAGAAATTAAATTGGAGAATAAATGATAAAGCCTCACAGGGTGATTTGGGAGGTGCAAGGGAAAGGACTGCTTCATAATTTTCCTCTCAAAAATCAGCCGAAGCAAAACTAACCTGGGGTGTACCTGGGCCACCTGGGCGTGAGCTGGGGCTGCAGGGCCGGCCACACAGGAATGAGGACTGACCCTGGGCCTGGAAGCGACACCTACTGGCTCTGCCCCCCCGAGGCCCCCGACCACCAGGGCACCCGGGAGAGAAATGGGAGCTGCCAGACGGCTGCCATGGCCCAGTCACAGGGGCTGCACGCTTCATCAGAAAGGTGAGGTCTGCCCACATGTCCTTGCTTGTAAACTCCCGTCTGCAGGACAGTGAAAGAAAAACTCAGAGGGCTGCTCACGTCCCCAGTGGGGCTTCTGCCCCTACTTTCAAATGTGAGATGAGACTACAGGAAGTGAGCCAAGCAGTGTGGTGCCACCGGCCGGGTCCAGCTGGGTGCATGGCGGGCGAGGAAGGTGGACCTGGACCTCAGCGTGGGCGGGAGGACGCTCCCCCGGGCCCAGTTCTGCCTCGGCCCCCCTCCGGCTCTGCTCTGTCTCCTCCCTTCTGCTTTGTCTGTTTTTAACTGACCACTGTAGGCCTCAAGTCCAGAGCCTTCCTCAGCAATGCAAAGGAGAATTTATTAACACTTTTAATCTTTCACTTTTTTCAATGGTAACCTTCTATGTGCAGCAAGTGACATAGATTCTCCATTTTTGTAATAATTTCATTTAAAATAGACACATTTGCATTTCCAAAGTGACTGACTGAAAGCAAACTATTAGTAAAGTTCTGCCAAGGCGCTCGGCTATGACACAAGCCACAGGGAGTGAGAAACCTCATGACTGGACAAAACCCTCTTGGCCAACATTAATCAGCATCTATGGTGGATAGGTCACTGTGAGGGGCATTTTTCACACCTGATCGTCACAACCCACTAAGGTCGGCATTACAAGCCCCAGTGGACAGAGAGGGGTGCTGAGTTTTGAGGATGAATTTCACTGCACAAGATCACACATTAGAGAAGCCAGAACCCGACCTCCCCGCTAACAGCGGAAGCACCGAGCTCTCAGTTGCAACTCACTACTTCTGGATTCTTCCCTTCCCGGCAGAGTGGAGCTGCGCCCTCTGATTTGTGAGAAGGGGATCTCCAGGAAGCCCTGCCGGCTGCCTCCCCAGGCTGGACCTCACAGTGTCCCCGTTTCCTCTTCTCCTCACTGGGTCCACACACGCCTGGGCCCCGGCCATTACTTCCATTCCCGGCCACACCCTGCTTTGTCCCCGAGCCCTACTTCAGCTCCGTCTTGCGGTGACACCGTCCTGCACAGTCCACTGCTGTACCAGGTTTTGCTGCGAGGAGGTGGTGCCTGCTGACCTCAGTGCGAATTACGACATCCCGAAGGTTTCATGTTTTAAAGTCGTCCGTTTCCATGAGGAGGAACTCTATTTCCACCCATTCCAGGAAAAGATTAGCAGCTTGAAATCACTTTGACAGTGGTAGTCGCTCTACTGAATACCACAGGGAATTTTAATTCCAGCCTGTGAAACTGTAATTGCTTCCCACGGAGAAGCGAGGAATGCTGGGTACGGCCACGGCCAAGCTCAGCGACGGGGCTGCCACATCAGAACTACTTGCTGTTTCTCAGAAATCGCTCCAGTTTCCATATGGGGAATGGAAGTAAATTAACAGAGGCTGTCAGCTGTTCGGACAGCAGTGTGACAGAGGTGGGTGACCGCCCAGCACAAAAGGTAACTTCTTCTCTTTTTCCGGTTAAGATAGTTTCACGAACAAATTTCATTACTTAAGGTATGCAGCTAAATGATGTCATTACTGAGTAAAAAATTATCTGGCCCATGACATGGTATGATTAAAGCTGCCAGTTTCTGTTCACTCCTTCCGGGAAAGAGTGGGGGTGGGGGATGGGGGGTGGGGGAAGTGGCCCAAAGAGTAATTAGAATAATGAAGATAGCGGGTCCGCGACAGGCTGATGTTCGCAGGGGATTAAAAAGTACCTGCTATCAAAGTCAAACCATCTGAGAAACTGTTCCCTGGCCATGTTTGGAACAAAGACAATTTGGAGCTACCACACCTGAGTACAACACACTGGAGAAAAGAGGAAATGACCTGCAAAGGGAAGGGCTTGCTGCCTGCCAGCTTCAGAAGGTAGGGGAGGTTCTGACCAGTACCAAGGGGTTCTGAAATTAAGGTTGTTTTTCCTACTGAGGTTCGGAAAGGAAAGAGAGGGGCTGAACATCACTGCTTAGGAAAACAGGGTCTGTGCATTGCCTTTTTGTTTAAGACCAGGACGTGGGCCTCAGTTTTCCTCATTTGATGATGTTTTAGGGTAAATTTCACATATTAGATTTCACTTTTCTGATTCCAGGAATTGTGCCCAGGTCCCCCATCTGGGCTGACTTCCCTTAGGATTATCCCACCTCAGCCGCCTCCCCCTGACTCCACCCCACCTCTGTGCGTGGATCCGCTCGTCCCCCAGCACTCGGGCTGATACCCTTTCCCGGCCCCGTCAGCGTGCCCGGCGTTCGTGGCCTCCGACCCCCTGGGCTCGCCCCACTGCAGAAAGCCTTCGCGGACCGCCCCAGTCTGCGTCAGAGCTCCCCCCGTGCCCTGAGATGCCCTGTGTTTTCCACCTTGAGTGACCGGATTGCAGTGGCCCCGCTTCACAAAAGCCTCAAGTCATAATAACCCCAACTCCTGCCAAGTGTTGAGAGATCTTCCCTACCGACAGAGATGAACTATATATAACGAAAGGCACATTTATGTTAATGACGGAGGGAGCTACTCAGCCCCCGAAACAACAGGTAGACCTGGGACCAGGGGCCGTGTGAGCGCAGCGGGTGGTCCGTGACCTGCGGGCCCTGAAGAGCCACTGGGTCAGCCTTAGGAGGAAAAGGGGAGGGTCTGCACCACTCCAGGTGCAGGGAAGGCAGATTCCACAAGGTGCCAGAGCCAGGGATAATTACTACTGTGCTACAAAATATACCACGGTTGCAACAAAGTCTGCAAACTCAGGTGCAAGGCATAGGAACTCCTTCCTGTAACTGCCTTGGGTTCCTTTTTATAATTCAACTTTTTATAACCCATTCCAGGAGAGACAAAACCAACCTGGGTCAGTTCCACACAGCACCGCCCACCACCGTCTCTCTGGGGTTGAACTGAGAAGTCGGGGATGGAGACAGTTCTGGGGTCGCCTCTGGCCCAAGCAGCGTGGGCTGCACAGGCCTTCTCTTAGCTGTGAGGGGGGTTTGAGGGTTCAGTTACACTCCGTTTCTGGGCACAGGTAGGTCCCAGGTTATGTGCTAAAGCATTTCAACACCAAAGAGGCCACCTGAGACCCCTGGTCCTTGACGCTCCAAACTCGAGGTGCAGCCATAGACACGTCGCTTAACTCCTCCAATCCTCAGTTTCTCCACCTACAGACAAGGGAGTCCGACTCTGTGGTTTCTGTGCTCTTATTCCAGGATGAACTGCAGGGATCACTATCCTTGCCTTTTCCGGCAAGACCAGGTCCGAGGTGACACCCAGAGACACAGGCTGATCCCCTTTCATCAAGCACTGAGAACGAGCAGTCTTCCCATGCCACCTACTCACATTTCAAATATCACTGCAAGAAACTCTAGACTTGCCCACGCATTTCAGAGAAACAGAGTATTTATGATTGCTTACCTGGAGGCATGTGGCGGTGACTTTCTGCGAGCTCACACCTGTGACTTTAACACTGGGGTGACACAGGTTTCACATTTAATGTTGCTAGGAACTCAGGGCAGCTCCTCTGACAGACAGCTCGACTTTGCCACACAGCACAAGGGAAAGCGGGTGCTAGATTGCTTGCCCCCCACCCCCTGCCACTTTCCTTTGATTGGCATGTTTAATGGCATTAAAAATATTCTTCAGCGTGAAATACAACAGTTTTAGCTACTGGATTTTCTTGTAGTTTGTGTAATTCTGATTGCCCAAGGAAATCTGGTTTGATAACATTTTTTTAGACTGCTATCCAACCACTTTTACTTCTTGTAAGACTGGAAGGAACTTTCAACTTTTCTAACACCAAAACTCTGAAGAGAGAAAATGAGAAGAGGGATCTTAATTGGAGACTTGCAATTCTTACCCTGCGTGGATGGGGTAAGATCTTAAACCTGGGAGGAATGCAGGAGAAGAGAAACTACTGGAGAATCAGAGGCAAAATGATACAAAAACAGGGAAGATGGGAAGTGGTCACGGGCAATAGACACAGCAGCTGCTCCTTTTAGAGGTTTGCAAACCATTCTCCAAAATGACACAAAACCCAGCCCAGCCTCAAAGTTTCAGTATGGAAATCATTTAAAACACTTAAAAGTAAATTTCAAAAGATCTTTTACTTCCTCTAGGAGGGACCCAGACTCCATAAGCTCCATTTCTTGGTTCACTTTCTGTTTGACTTCTGATTTTAGTCTTGGATATGGAACCAAATAGATGTGATATTGATTATTTACCATTGTTTCCTAGGTGAGAGGCTGTGCTTTAAGCAGGTTTACTTATTCAGGCCCAAAACGTGGAGTTGAGATTGAAGTCTCGTTTTTCCTGTCTTGTAGACATGGCAGATTTTAACACTTTACTGGGCCAATAATTAGCTATTTAGGTTTTCCTGTGAAGTTGGGAACTGCGGTAGTGGACCATGCCTTGGTATCTACGTGAAGCAGAAGCCCTTCCCTTGTATGTCAAATGATAAGTAAATTCACAGAAATCACAGTGGCTAAAACAAAACAAAACAAAACAAAAAACACAGAAACAAAAAACCAGGAACATCTGCCCTGTAAGATCGCAGCCTGAGATCATTTACCACAGGTGGCTTTATGTTTACTGAGAATAGAGCGTATGAATTCTTAACTGAACAGGTGTAGTAACAGAATTTGAGATACGGAAGATCAAAACCAGAAAGCAGGACTCTCATCTGATTCGCAGTGGCTAAGCAGAAGAGGTGGCAGGTGCCGGAGGGGTACAGGGTTGCTAGGTCCCCAGAGGACATTCAGGGTGGCAGTGCCAGTGCAAAGATTAAGGATCAAAGATGCTGACCTACAAAGAAAGCGGCTTGACTCTTACACTGAGGCTTTTTCCTGATTAAAATAATGGTGGGCTCACACATCCCATTCCAGCTACGTGCTGCCACAACTACAAAACAAACCCACCCCAGGATCAGCAGTACAATGACAATGACAAGAGACACCGCCAACCGGCGAAGCAGTGGCTTGCTGAATCAGCTCCTGAAAAAGGCAAGTTTGGAAGCTTGGAATCAGACCAGAAACCCAGACCCCAAGACAGAGATTGAACTCTCGCTGAGCCTTGCTTCCTGGTCCCTGAGAAAGTGATTCCACCATCATCGTACATTTCCAAAGGTGTCAGTGCAGGGCAAGGTAAGAGAAGCATGTGGCTGCAGCGTCCGCAGGATCAACAGCCACCCCGCATGGTGACAGCCCGTCTCTCCAGGGGAACTCTTCAGAGCCTGCACTGCTTAGGAACCTCTTCAGAAGCCTGGACTGGCTCTTCCTTGACTATCAAGTAAAGTCTAGATTCCTTAGAAGGGCATCCAAACCCTTCACAGTGTGACCCGAGCTTATTTCTTAGTTAATTTTCAGTTATTTCTCTTACATATCCTTCACTCTAGCCATACCATTTCTCAAATTCACCACACATCTTTATACAATAATACCTCTTTTGTTTTGGTAAAATATTCATGATATTTACCATTTTAATCATTAGTAAGTGTAAAATTTGGTGAAGAAATTTTTACAAAGTTGTATAACCATCACAATTATCTATAAAATTGTTTTATCATACCCAATATAAACTCAATACTCATTAAACAGTAACTCCCCTGTCCCTCTACCCTGAGCTCCTGATAATATTTATTCTACTTTCTGTCTCTAGGAATTTGTCTATTCTAGGTGTCTCATGTAAGTGGTATCATATGACATTTTTTCCTTCTGTGTCTGATTTCACTGAGCATGTTTTCAAGGTTCAAAGCATGTTGTGGCATGTGCCAGCATTTCATTCCTTTTTAAGGCTTAGTAATATTCCTTTGTGTATAAGTACTACATTTTGTTCATGCCTTCATCCATCAATGGGCATTTGGGATGTTTCCACCTTTTGGCTATTGTGAATAAAGCTAGTATGAGCACTGGTATAAAGACATGGTTAGAGTCCCTGCTTCGAATTCTTTTGGATAGCTAACTAGACTGGAATTGCATGGTCATATGGTAGTTCCAGGCTTAGATTCTTGAAGAACTGCCAAACTGTTTTCCAGAGGGGCGAAACCATTTTACATTCCCACCAACAATGTATGAGCATTTGAAATTCTCCATGTCATCCTTGTCAACATTTGTTATTTTTTTCCCCAGTGGCAGCCATCCTAATGTGCATGAAGTATTATCTCAGTGTGATTTTGATTTGCATTTCCCTGATGATTAGTGATGTTTAAGCATCTTTTCATTTGCTTATTGGTCAAGTGTGTATCTTCTTTGAAGAAATGTCTATTCAGGTCCTTTATACATTTTTAAAATTGGGCTGTTTTTCAGTTGTTGAATTATAGGAGTTCTCCATATATTCTGGATATTAATTTCTTGTCAGAGATATGACTTGCAACTATTTTCTCCCATTCTGTATGTTGTCTTTTTACTTTCCTGATAGTGTCCTTTGATACACAAAAATTCTTAACTTTGATGAAGTGCAAAGTTTTTCTTCTATTGCCTGTATTTTTGGTGTTACATCTATGAAATCGCTATATTCAGTATCATGAAGATTATCCCCAATGTTTGTTTTCTTCTAAGAATTTTACAACTTTAGCTCTGAAGTTTATTTAACTTTTATGTATTTTGAGTTAATTTTCATATTATGGTATAAGGTAAGGGTCCAACTTTATTCTTTTGTATGTGGATATCAGTTTTTCCAACACTATTTCTTAAAAAGACTGTCATTTCTATATGGAATGGTCTTGCCATTCTTAACAAAAATCAATTGGCCATGTATGTGAGGATTTTTTTTCTGTGATCTCTATTGTGTTCTATTAGTCCACATGTCTGTTCTTATGCCAGTACTGTATTGCCTTAATAACTGTAGCTATATTGTAAAATTTGAAGTTGGGAACTGTTTGTGAGTTTCTCAACTTTATTCTTCTTTTTCAAGAGTGTTTTGGCTATTTGGAGCCCCTCATAATTCCCCATGAATTTGAGGGTTGGCTTTTCCATTTCTGAAAAAAATGTCTCTAGAGGGACTGTGTTGAATCTATAACTTGCTTTAGGTAGTACCGGCATTTTAACAATTTTAAGTCACCCTGTCCATGAACATGGGATATCTTTCCATTTATTTAAATATTCAAAAATTTCTTTCAGTAATGTTTTGTATTTTTTAGCCTAAAAGTCTTCTACTTCCTTTGTTAGACTTATTACTCAGTATTTAATTGTTTTAGATGCTATTGTAAATGAAACTGATTTTTCATTTTTTTGGATTGTTCATTGGTGTATAGAAACAAGTGATTTTTGTGTGTTGATCTTACAGTCTACAACTTTGCTGACTTTGAAGCAGTGTGAATGGACCAAGACAAGACACAGGCTCCTGCTTTACCAGAGCGGGCCACATTGAAAAAAAAAAAGGCTGGAACTACAAGAACCCATGAGGTACAATATGAGTCACGCTCACAGCTGGCAGGGCGGTCGTCCCGCCGCAGCTGGCCCTGCAGGCATCAGGGCAGGCGCGGTCCTGTCTCATGCAGCACGGGCTGCTTGCCCGTCGCCCAAGCACGTGGCGGCAGGGGGCTCTGGTCCTTGCACTCCCCTGAGACCCAGGCCGAGGGAACCTTCACCCCGACACATGAGCGTGCCACACCCGTGGCGGGAGGAGCACCTGGCAGGTGCTTGCTGGCTCTGGACTTGCCTGCCCCAGGTAAAGCCACGACCCTCCCACTCCTCTCGTGTGGGTGCAAACAGGCCACAGCCAGGCCCACCCCCAGAGGGGCCACAGAGATGTGCCGCTGCGCTCTGGGGGGCAAGGAGCGGGGCTGCAGAGGCGACAGCTTTCCCAGCAACCACTCGCGCTCCCATGGCTCCCAGGCTCAGTCTTGTCTGGAGTCTGTCCACGGGGAAGCACGCTGCCGACACCACCGTGCCAGCTCTCCTCCCTCCCTCCAGCAGGTCGTGGAGAAAGCAAGCCGGACGTCCAGACCACTGCAGCTCCCCGCCAGCGCGTCACCGAGACGGAGCCTGCTACCACGTGCGATCTGGTCCCTGCCGCAGGGCTTCTGAGCCTCTGGGACAAGCCTAGTGGAGCTGCAGCCTGGCGGGGGCTGGAGCGGCGTGTGGACCGGGAGAATCCTGCGGCCGAAACAATCCTTAAGCATGGCCGGTGCGGTTGGCGGGGGGCAGCGGGGCTGTCGGACGGCTGGGTCTCTCGTTCTCTCCCAGGATGAGAAATGAAGGCGGTGGAGGAGAGACAGGCACAGAGCCAGAGGAGAGGAAGGGTGGGGGCGAGGGGCACAGGGGCACAGAAAAACCTGTTTCCAGTGAGCTGCAGGTGTAAAGCTTTGCTTATGTCCTGTATAGTGTGGCTCTAGGCTTTGGGCACCATTTCCTCATCTGCTGGGTTTTTGTTCAGTAAGTACCACACTGCTTATGAACAGAGCAACAGCTGTGTGTATCTCCAGAAGGGAAGTCCCAGCAGGCTTCTGCACTCTGCCAACACATCTCCCCCCTCCTGCTAGGCAGTGCCAGGCGATCCCAAGTAGATGCCCCACTGCAGGCCTCTGGAGGGGTACGGGCAGATCCTTTGAATTATAAATGGGATTTCCTTTTGGAAGCACAGACCAGGTTTGGGAGAAATGCACTAACACTAAAGCTTTTTTTTTTCAGCTCACCAACTGATGACATAATAAATTTTAAGTTGGATTGCTTAAATGACACATAAAAGGCTGAAACATTTTGAGATATAGCAAGAGCTAATCAGGGTTGTGGGTTTAAAGATGAAAACTGTCCTCAGGTAACCACAGGGCACCTTTTTTCTCTGTGCCTATTCAATCCAAACAGCTTGTTTAAATTCTGATAGTCATTGCACTTTACACCAACTCCTTTTATTGTGAAAAAAGTCAGTTCATTTAGTAAAGGCCAGTGGTACCAGGTAGAAATAAATATTTGCTGTAATTGATTGAAAATGTCAGAAAATGGGCACAGCTTGTTTTAGACAAATCTGTCCAGTTTCTGGAAGTTTGTGGGCGCCAAAGAAGTGGGTAATTTTCACACTTTTCAAAATGTTGTCAAGAGTCCTGTAATTGGCAGGCTTTCCCTTTGTATTCCAAAAGGATTCTTGGTCCTCAAACAAGCTTCTATGTAAACTTTTCAAGAACGCATCTGCCATGAAAAATAAGATGTTTGTAGCATTAGGACTCCAAACAAAGCATAAAGAGAAAGATACGTTTAAAAATGTTTATTAAAGATGGAAAATTCTTCCCTCCTTAGGGAAAGGTGCCCTGACTTATTGGTCATTTGGTTCTCACTTGAAGACTCAAGATGTAAAGAAAATGCAACCACTTGCATTTCTTGATAAAAATAAACCAGAAGGAGCTTAATTTAAAGATATGCTATGGCAGCTGTTCTTAGATTTTAGGTCAAGTAAGCAATAGGCCCAACTCCGTAAGAGACAGGGACAGCCTCACTGAACACTGTGGCCAAAAGGGAGGCAGTGAGACCGCTATGAACTATGGCCCTGTGAGAGCGGGTATGCTCGCTTTCCTGTTCACGGAAGACTTTAATCGGCAATGTATTCTTCTTCACAGATGCTTCATTTAGTTGTGTTTTTAATTGTAGACTTTGACCAAAAAGGCCAACAGAAGCGCAAACAGAGCCAGGCCTGCAGACACCCTCAGCACACAGTCCTTCAGCAGCAGTCTTCGGTTAGGTGCTAGGTCCTCTCGAGTGGCAGCGGAGGCGTGGGGCAGGCAGTGCAGGCGATGCCCGAGCCTATTTCTGAATTCCTATAAAGAGAGAAGCATTGGGGAAAAAATGATTTTAAGACGCTCAAAAAGCCCTACTGTGATAACAATCAAATAATGGGTCCTTAGAAGGAATTATCTTTCTTTTGCTTTATTGAGACGCAATTGACACGTAACATTGTATTAATTAGGTGTACAACATAATTATTCAATGTCTGTATACACTGCAAAATGGTCACAATACATCTAGCTAACATCCGTCGCCTCACATAGTTACAAATTCTTCTCCTGATGAGATCTTTTAAGATCTATTCTCTTAGAAACTTTCAAATATATAATACAGCATGATTTATTAACTGTAGTCATGGTGTTGTACATTACATCCCCAGGATTTATGTTACAACCGGAAGTTTGTACCATTTGACTCCATCATTTATCACCCTGACTCCCCGACCCCCTGGCAACCACCCTCTGTTGTCTGTACCTATGATCTTGTTTCATTTTTTAAGATTCCACATATAAGTGAAATCACAGGGTATTTGCCCTTCTCTGACTTATTTCACTTAGCAGACTGCCCTTGAGTTCCATCCATATTGTTGCAAATGGTTAAGATTTCCTTCTTTTGAATAGCTTAATAGTATTCCATTGTATATGTACACCATATCATCTTTATCCATTCTCACTGACTGACATTTAGGTTGTTTCAATATCTTGGCTATTGTAAACAATGCTGCAAATGAATATGGGGGTGTAGGTATCTTTTCAAGTTAGTGTTTTCATTTTCTTCAGATAAATACCCTCGAAGAGAAATGGTTGGGTTGTACGGTATTTCTATTTTTAATTTTTTGAAGAACTCCACATGGTTTTCCACAGTGGCTGCACCAACTGACAGTCCCACCAACAGTGCAGGAGGCTCCCTTTCCTCCACATCCTCCCCAACACTTGCTATTTCTTGGCTTTTTGATAGCGGCCATTCTGACAGGTCTAAGGTGACATCTCACTGTGGTTTTGCATTTCCCTGATGATTAATGATGTGGAGCATCTTTTCATGTGCCTGCTGGCCATCTGTATGTCTTCTCTGGAAATATGTTTAGGTCCTCTGCCTACTTTTTAATCAGATTTTTTTTGCTACTGAGTTATATGAGCTCCTTATATACTGTGGATGTGAGCCCTTTACCAGGAATCAGATATTTGAGCTGCAAATATGTTCTCCCATTTGGCAGGCTGCCCTTTCATTTTGTTGTTGGTTTTCTTTGTTATGCAGAAGATTTTTAGCTTAATGTGAGAAACAGCTTTCATTTATTACTCCTTCAACATAGGCACATTCCAACACCCACCATTGGCCAGGTGGCCCCGAGTTGGGTGTGAGTAAATCACATTTCCTTTCTTTGAAGGTCAAACCAACTTCATGATTTTCCAGATTATACACAAACTATACAAAAGACAGTGTTTATGGAGAATCAAGGCAGAATTCATGCAGGGCAGAATGTATGTAGAATGGACTTGTATCACAAATGTAACTTCCAGGGATGCAACTACTAATTCACGCAGTGGAACGACGACGAAGGAGCTACTGAAGCCGGTTTGCTCAGAAAACACGTCCGTCAGGGTCGAGATAGCCAGCGGGGCTCTGCGGCAGGAGGCCGCCCCACACCCTCGGTGGGCCCTGAAGGGGCAGCGCTGGGTGAGGACATCTGCTCCCAGAGGCCGCCCCTCCAGTTCCCCCAGTGCGCCCCCCAACCACCACCACGTTCTCTGTGTGCCCAACACGGAGCGGGTGGGAAATCCTGCGGGAGAGGGTCTGGAGAGCCAGGAGACAGGGCACTTCTCGGGGGTCTCTGCCCCCCGACGCCATCTAGCAGGTGCGTGGAGGGTGGAGCTGGGCACCTGGCGCCCTCAGGCTGGTTCTAGTGTTTCCGTTTTATAAGATTCCCATTACACAGGATCCTCACCTACTGTCCAGACTTCAGAACGGGTGCTTCCCCTGCTGAGACCTGAATAATATTTTTGAGTCACACAGGTGAAAGGCGGAGGAAGGGGAATCCTGGACGGGAGCACAACGCCAGGGGAGGGAGGGGCAGCCCAGAGGCAGCACCTGCCGCGTGAGGGAGATGGAGCCATGGGGGCCCGCTGTGCTGTCAATGGCCATGTCCCGGGCTTGGCCTTCCCTCCCAGGCTCAGACCATCTCCTGGTGGGAGGCGGGGTGCTGGGCACAGGCGCTGGGGCGGAGCCGTACGGAGGGTCGGGGGTGCGGGTGAGCCAGCAGGCCCACGTTAGGGTGCCGGCAGCACACAGGAGGGGTGGCCGGCCTTGCTGGATGATCCCCAGGACCTGAGCTCACACGGATGGGTGACGAGAGGTACAAGGAAGAGAACAGGGAGATGAAAACAACTTGCACAACCCGATTTCCACCGGCTGCTGACGGATTTGGAAGAAGCCTCGTTTTGACTGTAGGACACTAACTGCACACTTAATAAAGCTGCTAACCACAGGGTAAGTCTCTCGACCCCAAAGGCAGCCAAACCCTTATGCACCCTGCTGGCGTCGCTGTGCCGGGAGCCCTGGAAAGAGCCCCGCAGCCGGACAGGCAGGAGTGTCCTCCCTGCATAGCGGGGGCAGTGCCAGAGGGGAGTGGTGCCCCTGAACGTGCCCCTGCCGCCTTGTAGACTGCAGTCTTGTGAGCCTGGCTTTGGGGGATGTTTGGAGCTGGAAATATGTTGATAAGCTTTCACTTCAGCTGCTTAGGAATGGCCTCAAGGTCTCAAGGACAGTGCACATGTGGATATTTCAGCATTAGGGAACAGTGTGTCTCTCTAGCTGGAATGACAGAAGCTCCGTGGGTTCCTCAAAAGCAGTGAGGCTGCCCGATTCATGTCTGGGATCCTGTAAACTGACAGCTGTTGGTACAGAGAGGTGCCCAGCAAGTTTAGAAATGGGTGAATGGCTGAACACGGGAGTGTGTGTTCCAGCTGAGTAGCTCATCAAAAACATGCCTGACTATGTGTCCTGTGATGTATGCAGGGCACTGTTCTTTGTAAATCATAAGTTCTTGCCTCTAGAAATTAAACCATCACTTCTTAAGTCTGGGTTTACAAGACCACAATTAAGAGGTTGATTAATTTCTTCCAGGCCTGAGTTTTACATTCCTGAGTCTCACATGGCTTTGAGAAGCCAATGAAGACTACAGACGGCTGCCCAGGAAGGAGAGGGGCCTGTGCCCAGCCCCACTCACACTTCTGCATATGACTTTGGGAAGTTCATTGACACCTTCTCCAGGAATAGACTCTGGTATTGTGGGGATGAAGCTTTCTCTTTAAAAGAAAAAATATGAATACAAAATTAGGTAAGGTCTTCTCTCAAAATACGAGGCCCTGAAACCTAAGGTGAACCGGCTTTAGAGAAAATGCACCTGTGCCCGCAGTTCAAGATGCCCTTACATCGTTCAAACTTCAACGCACCAAACATGAGAACTTCGATTGCTTTCTAAAACTACTATTTACCAAACATCAACTCTCAGACTTGTATTTTTTACGAAGCCACATTCCACTTAGACACACCTTTTTCAAAACAGATAGAAATTTGAAACAGGGCAGGGTATGACCTTTGTTGAAGAAAGATCCACGCATTGATTCAGTTACAGTGGACTAACTACTTTCTGATAAAAGTGTTAACTCTGAGTAACACCGGCTTCCCCCCACTTTGTAAACCTCATTGTTCCCTTGATTAATTTCTCACTTGCTAAAATTCTTAAATATATTCTCTTAATTTTCAAGAGCATAGCTTATCAAATCCCATTAAAGTAATAACTCTGTTAGAGGAAAAATCAAGGATATACACTGACACAGAACGAGACAAAAACAACTTTGAGGTTCAGAAACTTGAGGGGTCCGATCTCAGTCAGTCAAAGGTAAGTGAAGACTTAAGAGAAAACGTCAGTCTGCTGAGATGTGACGGCAGCCTGGGGAGGAAGGCCGGCGGCCTCCAGGGCTCAGCTCTGCTGACGCCTCTTCCTTCCACCAGTGCAGGCCTGCAGTCGGCTGCTTGCTCAGAAAAACGGGCCTCCAGGGCCACCCACATTAGTCCTACTTTGATTGTCGGCCAAAGAGACAGGGATTGAAGGGAAGGGCACCTGGGAGGCGGTCAGTGTTCTCTGAAGGGATGTTTGCATCTCTCCGTGTTCCCGCATTCGGTATTTACACCTCCGTGCAGCTGCAAGCATCCCTTCCTCGGGAGCCGACCTGCCCAAAGGCTCCTCCGCCTCCTCACAATGTTTGTAAGTTGTAATACGTAATATGGCTGCCGATCCAGAAGC